GAGCAAGCAATAGCACCAGTGCGCCTCCTCCAACGACCCAAAGCACGATAACCATGAAGGCGTGAGGGCCAAAGCATGTAGACCAAGCCAAAGAAAAGGTGGCCGGCCAAGGTAAGGAAGAAGGGTCCCAGGAGCCCAAGCACTGAAGGTGTCCAGGCAAGAAAGGGACCCGTGTCATACGAACTGCCACACGCACGCATCTCAGCCCCCGTCCCAGAGCGACCGATACGGGTGTTGCGCGCCTGAGAATGCGTCGTGGCAAAACTGACGGCCTCAGAACATACAGGCCCAGCATAAGCTCGACCAAAAGCAACGCCGCCAAACGGGAAGCGAGCCACAAGCCGGCAGGAGCTGCGCACTGACAACACCAAGTTGCCTGTGGACGGACGGTACCCCAGAGCCACCGATGTACCTGTTAGGCCCCGAACCACAGTAACGCCTTCGGTGCCGAAAAGAGCTGCCGGATCCGAGTGTGCCAAGTGCTCAAAGCAGCCAGAGCCAATAACACCGTACACCGAAAACCCGCAGGGTAAAGGCACACTCCAAGAAACACCGAGACAAAAGAGCCCAGCGACGCAAAACTGATGGCTGGCCCCATGGAAAAGGAGCAGCCCAGGAGAATGTGGCGAAGGGGAAGCAGCCAGCTCAAGAACCCAATGAGCGGCTGCCTTCCGCGAGGATGAATGGCCAACCGCCCGTGCCTCACCCCAAAGACAAGGGGGACGCGAGCGAAGACCCGAAATGACTGGAAGCCGAACCGAAGCGCCGGAAACCGGAACATCATATTTACAAGGAAAAGCCCTACGGCGAGGTGAGAAATCAAGCTTCGAGGCCGCATAGCCGCCTGCCGGAGCCCGCCTACTCGGAGATCTGCCTAACGCTGTGCCCCAGACAGCAGTAGGACAGACTCCACTCGGGAGGGCCAGACAAGCAGCCTTGCAGCACGAAGCCTGTCGTAAGCTCGCTCCATGGCCATCACTGCAGGTCATGTGCCCGTTGGGGGCTTCCCTGTTTCCTCGCTTGAACCAGGCGGTCGTTCCGCCAGGTCCTGCTCCGAATCCGAGGCGTCCACCGGCTGTACCATGGCCTGGCCGTTGATCGTCGCCTGCAAGGACTGCTCGGTCGGCAGTCCGAACGGAGTCAAGGCAGACCGCTTGGCATCTAACTTCACCGCCAGGCTGCCCGCAAGCCCTGTGCCAGTGTGAACAGGGTGCAGCGGAGCGCCCTTTACTGGCATCCTCGAAGAAGATCTGGACCTCGTAGGGGATCCCGCAGAAAAGGGGGCCGTAGCCACCACCGGCCTGACCGCATCTGTGTTCCGCGAAGAAGGGGAAAAGGGGTAAGGTGCCACAGGCCCTGGTTCCACTGCCGCGGCTGCTGGCCCTGAAGGACCTGGTGTAGCATCCGAGCTGGCCCTCGCCTCGTGTGCTGCAGGAGGAGCTATGCCGCCAAGAAGATTTCCATCCGGCAAACCAGGAGGAAGACCTGCCATCACCATGCGGAGGAGCTGCGCCGCCGCAGCCTGCGTGGCAATGCCACCATCGCGAGCACCCGTCGAGGGCATACCGGTGCGCATCTGTTGTGCTGCATGTAAGGCCTCCTGCAGAAATCCTGTCTCCGTGGGAACATCTTCCTCCCGGGTGAGCTGTTCCCAGTCGTCTGTGTCCTCCCGAGACGGAGCGTCTGGTGGAGGAAGGGCCTCCATGCCCCTGAGCACCAACGCCTGAACCATCATCGAGGAGTCCTTCCCTGACGAAGTAGCAGACAAAATGTCCTCGTCGATCTTCGCAAGGGCAGCGTGATACCGGTGCTTCTCCTTGATGAACGCCTCGCGCGACTCCTTGACAAAGAGCTCCCATTGCGCCTCTTTCTTCTGGCGATCTTCGCGAAGTCGGCGGACTCTGTTGTCTGCTTTCCTCGCTGAGGAGAGAGACTTCTGCACCTCCCGCATGAGCGCAGAGTCTGAGGAGTCCGAAGGGGCGGCCGGCGCCTCCGGCCGAGCATCTGAGCGGTTCGGAACCACCATCCTGTCGAACTGTGGTCTCGACTGCTTGGGCGAATACGCCCCATGCCAGACCTGCCCATGCCAAGGCGGCTTGCGGGAGCCGTCCTGGCCTCCACGATTGTCTCTGTCTGACCATCGCTGCCATTTCTTTCCGCCCATACGTACCTGTGAGAGCTCGCGGTATCGTGGGGCTGAGTGATGCCCAGACAGTCGTACCAGGTCAGATGTGGCGGGTGGTAGACCCCGTAGCCGAGCTTCCCGTAAGCGGCGGCGAGCAACAGAGCGCCTGCGGCGCAAATTGCGATGCCACGTGGGCGACCTCAAATAGCGTGCCGTAGTAGGCACTGGGGCTCTAGCGGCAATACCCTCAGTGGGGTTTGATCCGAAACCCTAAAATAGTATTGGCAATTATTTAGGGCCCGACATTATTATATTGTTTTCGGGCTATGGTTTCGGTGCTTGCGCTGTTGGGTTTTTTGGGGTTTTTGTTGTTACGGAAACACTGAGGCATCTTCTGATAAAGACCCTTGCGCAAGCAGTGTCGAGGGGGCTTTAAATGCAGCAACGACATACCTTGAAACTTAAACCCTCTAGAAAGCCCAAACCCGAAGACGCCTCAAGCCCTTAATGCCTTACACTCTAGACTCTTAACCCGAAAACTCTAAAACCCTAAAACCCCAAAGCCCTGAAGCCTAAAACCCTAAAGCCCGAACCGTTGACCCTCAAAGGATGCACACCCCTAAACCCTAAACCTTAAACCCCAAACTCTAAACCCTAAACTTCTAAACCCTAAACCCTAAACTTCTATACCCCAGACCCTAAACCCTGAACCCCTAAACCCTAAACTTCTAGCTTAGGGTCTTCAGGCTTAGGGAACTCTCAGTCTGCAGCTTTCGATTTATGCGAGGGTCTGTCAGGGTTTGTTAGGGTTTAGGGTTTAGGGTTTAGGGTTTAGGGTTTAGGGTTTAGGGTTTAGGGTTTAGGGTTTAGGGGTTTAGGGATTAGGGTTTGTTAGGGTTTAGAGGTTTAGGGAATAGCGGTCTGGGGGGCTTAGGGTTTAGGGTGTAGGGGGGTGTAGAGGTTTGGGGTTTAGGTTTTGATGACCCCAAACCCCAAACCCTAAACCCTAAACCCTAAACCCTAAACCCTAAACCCTAAACCCTAAACCCTAAAACCTAAAACCACACTTAACCTGAGACCCTGAGGGGGCTCAGGCTCGAGGGCTTGAGGGTTAAGGTTTACTTAGGGGCTCAGTACCCTAGACCAAAAAGGTTAAGGGTTTAGGGTTTAGGGTTTAGGGTTTAGGGTTTAGGGTTCAGGGTTTAGGGTTTAGGGTTTAGGGTTCAGGGTTTAGGGTTTAGGGTTTAACCTATGTTAGAATATAGTAGGATTATAATTCATCTACTAAGCCCCTAAGTTTAGGGCTTAGAGTTCAGGCTGTCGCCGCTTTTGCATTTAGAGTTCAAGGGCTCGCCGGGATTGCTCATGAGATTCTTGAGGTTCAAGGCTTTTAAAAACGGACTCGAACGAACTTGCGTTGGGACTTCGGGCTTTTGAGTGTGGGTCAGAGCATCGCTGAATTAAAGGAAACTACAGTTGGGGAGTTTAGGGTATATAGCGCTTCTATAAGGCTCCCATGAGGTATATAGACCTTCCATAACGCTCCTATAACGGCAACTACCCACCTGACAATGTCCTAGGCTGAAGACCGAAGCTCTGAACCCTCAGCCGTAAGCCTGGCTACTAAGCCCCGCGCACCTTTGAGTAGACCCTAAACCCTAAACCCTACACTCTAAACCCTAAACCCTACACCCTAAACCCTAAGCCCTAAACTCTAAACCCTACACCCTAAACCCTACACCCAACACCCTAAACTGAAGGCCCTACACCCTGGACTCTAAACCCGAAGCCCTGAACTCTAAACCCTAAGCCCTAAACTCTAAACCCTAAACCCTACACCCTAAACCCTAAACTCTAAGCCCTAAACTCTAAGCCCTAAACTCTAAGCCCTAAACCCTAAACCCTAAACCACTGGAGCTACACTGGGTGCACTGAAAATCCTCGCAATTAGTGCCCACTCTCACAGCAGTACTTCTAGTTGGCAGGAGCC